GACTTTAAGAGATGGTGAGAAGCATTCAGAATTTTTTGATGATGATCTGATAAATCAAATCAGAATTAGCACCATCTCACACTAACTCCAATTCAATTTATCAGACCATCCAGCCAATGGACACCACAACACTTCAAAATTCAATATCAATTCAACAAAAATAGATAAAAATAATTGGAAAGAAGTTTTAGAATTCTCAAAATCAGCTCTATCTACTGTTAAAAAGAATTATGCAAATATCTCAATTTTTGAGTGGGTCCAACACCATGTTTTTACTATATAGAATAAGAATACAGTTTAACAAGAGATATTTTTCTGATTTTATAGTAGCAATAATTGATTTACATTCTGAACAGTGTCCAGCTAGTCATTTGCTGCTATATTTTTATAAATTCTCTGTTAATATAGACTTACTCTCTGATTTTATAAATTCTTCTTGTGATTTCTCCATTTCTTGAACTTCTTCTGGAACATAATTGACACTAGATGAAGAATTGATTTTTCTGTAGAAAAATTACTGCTTCTTAACTGTTTGATTGCTAGTCTTTTGTTTGAGACAGACATTTATTATATGATTTTGCTGATTACAATTGAAGCAATATTCTTCTTGTTTTTATTATTCTTTTTGTTTGAGATGAGTATAGAAGTGGGTAAATTGCTGCTTCTTAACTGTTTGTTTGCAGAGATGTTTGTCTGTCAGCTTTCTTTTCTTATTCTTATTATAATACTCTTATTTTCTCATATCATGAGAGTCTTAAGAGCTGATGCAGTTAGTTTTTTGATACTCAGCAGCTTTCTCATAATAAACAGTTATAGAAAACAATTTTTGAAGAGTATCTGATACTTCTTGTTCTTGAATTTTATATTGAATTTGAGTAGATAATTTAACTAAAGCTTGATAGACTTACAATTGCTGATGTTGATATTTCATAAAGAACATCTTAAAATTGTGTCAACATTTCATAAATTTTCATTTGAAATCAGAGATGAAATATTTCACTCTAAAATGTAGAGCTGTTATTCTTCTTGCTGCTGTACATCTGTAATTCTTCAGAGCTTTGAGCCAGTTTAATAATTTTATTTTAAAATTATTGAAGATAAATATATTTCAATTAATATATTCTTTTTTTAAATCTTATAAGACTTGAGAATTGTTCAGCAATCTAGCTGTTATATATTTAATCTTTTTCTTCTTCATAGTATAGATTCTGCTTTTCATTTTGAGATAATTCTTGCATGCTTAAATAAATTTCTGATATTTCTTCTGATTCTGTCTCTTATACAAATCTGACTCTGAAAATCATTTATCTTCTTACTTATTGATAACTTGTGATGAGATAGCAGCTGCCTGTTTGTGTTGGATTTATATTTATTATAGAAGAATGTTAAACTAATCTGAAATTATTGTATATATGGTTTTCTGTTGCTGCAGAATTTCTATCTTTC